CATGCTACATTAAAGTGCTGGCTTTTCTGATAACAATGCAGCAACAACCAGTAAGTTTTGATTCCGGTCCGGAATGGTCTGTATTTGTTTTGACCAGAGAAGGTAGGTGGTTTTATTAAGGCAATCCCACACAGCAGTTTCGGATGCCCCTCGGTTTGCCAGATATGAGACCAGTTATCACAGCAAACCAACAGGTGTTGCAACGATAGAAGCAGGCAGGAGAACTGGTTCAGATATAACTGATTCTATCCGACCTAAAGAGCCTCAGCATTTTTCTAATAAGCTCCACGAGCAGAAATGTGGTTAAACTAGAATAAATATTGGAGATGCTTTTTAAAATGGATAGAAGTTAGAGCGCAGAAACATTTCAAGACTAATGCAGAGCTGGCTAAACACTGAAGCTTCCATGTCCGCAACATGGCAACCCGCGACTTGGCAACCCGCTTGCGCATCGGCTTTAAGGAGGAGGGGCTAGGGGGAAAACGGCTCTCTCCAATGTTTTGAATTTGGACTGAAGTACCAATTTTAAACATTTCGTGTCAGCATAATGCTCCTTTAAAAAAGTTGTGTTAGATATAATATGACGGCAGTTATTTAAACACTTGTTTATCTCTCTTCCACACATGCTCATCGCTTCAAGGTGGCTGCTGTTTCAAACCAGAGACAACCAAAGACAGTCTGAAGCTCTTTGAGATTGAGACGGTTCTGTCTTTGGAGCAGAGGAAACTGAAGGAGAAACTCGACCCGTCCTCCATCACTGAGGTTGGTATTTATTAATTATGGTATTATTAACCTTTCAGTAGACATGGAAATGAAAGGAATCGTTTTAACACAGGTTTAAACACTTGACATCAAGTTAACTTGCTTATTAATGTATCCTCTTATAGAGTTCTTTGTCAAGCATCTTCCTTACTCATGGGTATGATGAAAGTCCAGAGACTTTGTTGCCAAGTCAGATAAACAGCAAAGTGACAGTGACTGAGAGGTGAGTAATTCAAATGACTAATTCAAAAATAGACTTTGAATCATGAATCCAGATTTTTTAAAATTGAAAATAGATTCTTAATCCAATTGTTACACCAAGAATCAAAATCAAAATCGTGAGACACTCAAATATTCCCAGCCCTAATATTTTCTGCCTTTACAATGTTTGCACATCATCTGATTCTAAATTATTCATAATCTCTTTTATTAGTGCTCTGAAGAAGAGGAAGGAGACAAAGCAGGGTTGGTTTCTGGAGAAGGACAAACGTATACTGGAGGAGCTGAAGAGTCTGCACTGTGATCCACATCCCTTCTTCAAAGTTTTCCCCTCAGAGTCAGACTTCAGTGAGTGACATGCTTTTTTAATTTTTCACTTTTTATGGGGCAAACGACTGGTAAAAATGTTGGCACTTAATTTCATACTCTACAATAGCCAACAGTTGTAGTCTGCTGGCCATGAGGAAGTTGGTTTTCTAAATTGATAGATTTTTTGGAGAGGGGGAGGTGGGGGGGGGGGGCTGTACTGATGTACTGTGCAGTACATGTTGTTTTCAGTATACACTGTTCCTTATTCATGAAATCTATACACAATTTTGCTGTTCTATGATCAGATATATTTTAGCATATTCACATATGCACACATACTTTGTGCGCGCCGCGGTCCGTCAGTGCCGCACACTACGTTGTACTTAGCTTCCACTCTAGTCAATCATTGTGTTCACACAGGGCGCGCTGCGGTCCGTCTCCGGCACGTGCCACCAACGACACTGCTCTCTGCTCCGTTTCAAATACGCTATTTTCGCCGGAGTATGCTGCAGGCACGCGTCAAGATGGACAGAATATGACAGCCCGGACAGGAAGTCAGACAAGGAAACGCACAGAGCATCCGGTTAATTTCAAAATAAAACACAATATACAGACTCACGATCGTATTTTTCATCACTTTATCAACATTACGTCAAAACAGGCACTGAATGAACAACAATACATCCTCAGAAAGACAAAGCAACATGTTGTTTGCATGTTTTTCTCTTTATTCCCGCGGGATCTTGTAGTTCTCCTGTGATGTGTCATGGATGCGCTGACGTCCCAGAAACGGATCCAATGTGAATGGGCGCGAGCCGTCCGACGGAGCAAAACCATGGCGCTGACGGACCGCGGCGCGCACAGAGTATGTGTGAATTGGGGGTGAGGCAGTGATTACTGAAGTGGGTCACAGGACCCCTAGGGACGACCCAGAGTTGTCAATGGGGCCACGGCAATGCGTAAGAAAACAGCTGCCTCCTGTCCTCGTACTGCATGCAGGTAGACAACGCCTTGCCATTCACTTAAGTCCTGCGAACAGAGATCAAGCAATCTCTCAGCAGTGGGTCATGCCCAGTGGCCAAACCCACAGCTGAAGGCAACAAGGGTGCCAGACCCCCATCTGAGACAGGAGGTCCACGTGTGAAATAAGGGTTGCGGTGTCCTGGGCTACCTGTGGCTGAGAGGGCAAGGTGGGACATAGAGTTCCCTATCTGCCCAATGCGAGCTGTTGCCTCATAAGCTATGTATTGGAGGTCGTCCTTTACTCTACATTGAGGACAGTGACACCGTGCATCCTGCATAAGGGCCTCTTCGGGAGACACAATAGGAGCAGCAATGTTGTTTGTTGTCACACACACACTTTTCTGTACGTTTTGCAGCCAATGTTTGAGATACATTCAAAAAAATATAGGAATTTGTCAGCAAAGATTGTCAGCGACGCTGTGTTTACTGTATGTTGATGTGTATGGTGAGGGGGCTTGAAAATATTTTCACTGCTAAAGGGGAGGCGGCCTAAAAACGTTTGGAACCACTGGACTAAGGGCTTCTAAAATCAACAAGGCTGACTCTTTGTTTATAATCTTCAGCTTTCTGGAAGATTCTCATGCAAGGTCCTCCGGACACACCATATGAGAAAGGAGTGTTTGAGCTGTACTGCCAGTTTGGTCCTGACTACCCAGTGAAGCCTCCACTCGTCCGCTTTGTCACACATGTATCCTTATAAAATGACTATTATATATTTTAGCCAATTTTTTATTTAAGGCTTATTTTGGTAATTTTATGCTTTTATTTTAGAGACAGTACAGGATAGTCTTAGAAATCAGGGAGAGAGTGGGGAATGACACAGGTTGGATTTGAACCCCGACAGCCTACTACAGCCTCCCCGTACATGGGGAGCGCGTACTAACCACTAGGCTACTGGTGCCCCTTTTTGCTTAATTTTGTTATTGTTTTTTATTTCTTTTGTTTTTACAGAATCACAACTGTTATTTGGGCTTGTGGGTTTTTCTCATATTTTAAGACGTCAGACTTGGAAAAGGATCTCCCTGTATTATAATATTTATAATAATTGGGGAATGAGGAACAACACTTTTCGTTGAAAAAAAAAAACTTCTGAGGTAATATTATCTGTTTGCACTTGAGTTGTTTTCTTTAAATGTGAGAACAGGTCTACCACTGCAACGTCAACAGTGTGGGACGCATCTGCCACAACATATTTGACCGCAACTACAACGCCCACATCACCATGAGAGAAATCCTGGAAGCTGTGTATGGACTGCTCATCGTCCCTGAACCTGAGGATCCTCTGGACAGGTGAGATTACACACATGCTTAATCGCACTTTGAGGTGACTGGTAGGTGGATAACAAAGCCGATTATTAACCCAGAAATACTGTATATTTAGTGATGAGGATGTTATTTATCTATTTGGATTTCCGTCTGTTCTTATAATTACCAGTTTTACCTCCTCTAGAAATCTGTAGTTACATTTCATCAGTTGTTATTTGATTTGGATATCATCTTATCAGAATGTTTTTATTAATCCTTGCGTTTGATGATGGTAGTTTGACACTTACTGTTAGAAAGTTATGATATATATATATATATATATATATATACATACACACACAGTATATATATAATATATGGGTTTGTCAAAAAGTGAAACTCAATCACAGCCCCAATTGTACAAATAATTTGGTTTTGTACTGTGGCTCATTAAAAAAGTTAATTTAATGCCATTCGTCTGGTTTTGCAGAGGTGTTGATACAAGACCGTAGAACAATCATATTGTAAAATATAACATCACAACTGTGTATAACTTCAAAATGTTTTTGTTCTTTTTCCTAGCATTTTGGCAGAGGAATTCATGACGAGCCGTGCAGAGTATGAACGAGAAGCCAGGAAGCACACAGAGGAAACTGCAGGGATCTCAATGGATGACATGGAAAAAGTAAATGGTCTCCTATAAAATTGTCAATGTCTAAGAGGCATTGTCTTTTTGTATGGCTGTATGGTACACATTAAAGTGCGTCTTTCAGGTTTTAAATTAACATTGTTACGAGCTAGCACCAGCTACACATACAGTATTCATACAACAAAACTAGCCCTAACCTAAAGTGTGACAGAGAGGTCAAGTGATGACAGGTACGGAGAGGACTGAGTCTCACACAGGGAAAACATAAGGTTAGGTCAGCTCACCTATACGCGGGTCTGCCAGGCCACCGGTGGCCTGATCGCACCGGACGGCTTTTAGAGCAACGAGCCCAAGCTTTGTGTTTGAGTTCAGTTTTGTTTGTTGTAGTTAGTTCACAAGTTATGGCTGGTTTCAATAACTAGTTTGTGGGAGTGGGTCAGCTGTCAAGTCCGACAGCTTCAAAGTCGGCGTCCATAAGGGTCCTCCGTCAGCTACCATTTCACCTGTCTTATTACGTCATTTAAAGTGACAGAGCACCGCTCTGAGCGCACCTCAGGAATGGTGCCTTTAAGACTATCGTACAATCCAGTAAACACAGCTTAAACCCATTCTCTATTCTCCCCATGAAAACCAGTCCAAAGTAATTTACAAAATAGACAGATAAGGATGAAGAAGAAGAACCTTACTGTTTCCTAACAACATATTGTCTTGTAATGTTTATTTCCTCTCATTTCTTTTAAAAAATGGAATTTCCCCTTGTGGGATTGATAAAGTAAATCTTCTTCTTCTAAAGAAAATGGTGGATCCGGTGGCACAGTTCATACCCCAACATCTGATCTGTCCACTCACCAAGAAGATGTTTGTTGATCCTGTGAAAACTGTCTACGGCACGGTGTATGAACGCCAGGCCATCGAGGAACACCTGAAACAGTGAGTTTGTTTACAGCTGTTGACATGAATGCAATGTGCGTTAGCTAAAAGGTACAAAAACTACACATTTGCTTATGAAACCATTTAAGAAGGAATTTTCTCAGATGACTTGGCTAAACGCTCTTTGCAGACACCAGTATGAGCCTCTAGCTGGACAAGGACACGAACTTGAAATGGGTGACATCAGCACAGACCAGGACATGAAGAAAATGGTGATGGAGCATCGAACACGTCAAATTAAATAGTTCTGAATAAAAAAAAAACAACAAAGCGGATCCGCCTTAGTACTTAAATGCAAACTCTGCTTTGTGAAGAGATGTTCATTAAATAACTGATGTCTGTTCATACTCAGTTTTCTTAATGTTTCCTACAATCATGTCAACGTTTATGTTCAACTTCCCTTTTAGAGTTTAAAAAGATACTTCAATTATAGGAGTTGGAAATAGTAATAATGATAATAAAGCATGAAAGGTTTTTTAAAAAGGAGGAGGTTTGGATGGGACAACCTTTGTCTTTTTTTTATTCAAGGCACTTTTTTGAATTAGTTGTTGCTTTAAGTTCTATGTTTTTCTCTCAAATTTCATTGTTCTCTATTTTACCTATAAAAATGACTTTTCATGACTACATTTTGTGATAACTTTCTTGGAGAGAAACAAATCAAGATTCTGGTTCATTGCATGCGACCTACTTGCATTTGCAAAATAATAAAGAGTGAAAGTGGACAACTAACATGTTTTTTCTTTGGTCAGTTTCTTGAAGTATTCATAATGATGAAGTTTATGTAGTATTCAGACCATCCAATGACATACAGTAAGTGTGATTTTTCTGCAGGTGTATAACAGTAAGAACTTTCTTTCATGACAGGTCATCTATTGGTCACTGTAAGGCTAACACAGTAGAATTTTACTCAATAACATGGTTACCAGCAAGACTGGAGAGTTTTCTAGTCGTGAGACATCTTTTATTGTGTTTTTGCTTTATACAATTACGTTTAATACCTGTCCCGTGCAACTACATTTTTGAGTGGTTATGTAAATGTGTGAAAATATTGAATACATAGTTTTGACTTTGAACAATACAAATAAAACATAAAAGTAAAAGTCTTAAAGACATTATTTTTCACTAAGGGTAGATTAATAGTTGACCACTGATGTAGGAAGTGTTCTGATCCTTAAATAAACAAACTGCTTTAAAAATGTTACTTAAATAAAGTCTGCGAGTTTCTCAGTAATTAAATGATTAAATGTATAAGATTTGACATTCTTGCTCATGCATTCATGGTTTGGCTACATTTGACTTTTGTAGAGCTCACTTGAACTTTTTCACTTATTTCTGAGGAGGTGTTGACACTTGTGATTTATTGGTGGAGAGACCTGTTAATAAGAATGTTTAATAAAATATGTCACGTGTTTAAACCTCAGGGCATGTTTGGCCGTCCTCCTGTACACTGTTTTGGCCTTGATTGAATTATATGTTTCCGCCACAAACTATCCTTTCCTCAAAACCTTGTGAAATAAAACCTTCCACAATAAACATGGAGTTCAGTGTTCACAGCAGTATGTGTATAAACCCTGCTATAATTAAAAGGCTGTGTGCATTACACAACACAACGGGTATATCAAAGCACTACCAACTTTTTACATTTAAAACATTTTTATTTTGTTTTTTTAGAGCTCAATACACCTTTGATGGCGCTTAATTAATGCAAACCTTGGCTTTCCATAGGCTATATTATGAGAGTTTAGTGACCTAAAAGAATTACAAGTGGTGCCAATAGACTGTAAATAATATTTATAGTAAATACAATAAATAATATTTACAGTCTAACCCTATGTCTAATTTACCCTAGCCCTAATCTTTATACAGTCTATGATGGCGCCCCACAGGTGACCAATAAACGACAGGTAAGTTGTGATTAGTTTTGATCCTCTTGCCTTTCCATATAATGACCCGGTGTACACAAAAAAAGAGGAAGTGAATGAATCTTGTCACAACATTCTTGAAAGGAATAATAATTTGAAATCATTATATGCCTTAATATAACTCTAAAGTATGAATTTGCAATATATTACGCTTTGTTTTCATTTGACAACTTGCGTGTCAGTAATGTATCGACCAAAAGCACACTCACTTGTGCTTTTATTCTGAAGGCTTCGTCCGGAAGTGTTATATCGATATTAATTACGCGTGCTCTACTCGCTGGTAGTAAATGGGTCTAGTGCCTGGTCGGGTGAGGTTTGGGTAAATTCAAGAGGAAACACGAGGATTTAGAAGGCAGGTGAGTGTTTGTGAATTTTAGCCGGTAATTTCAAAGTGATATGTTTTTAACCTTTTCATATTTTCACCGCTGCACGTGAAGTTAAACTCAAACCCGCGAGCACAGTATACGTCACCCACAGTTACCTCAACAGGTATTTTTTTTTACTGCAGAGTTACCACAGGTAATGATTACGTTAGCTTACATTTCATATCACAGTGTGTCTCATTACCTTTAATTTAAGTGTATGAAATTACATACAGTTAAAAAAAAAAAAAAGTCTTTTTAAACAATTCCAGCGTTTGCATGGCTTTGGGAACAGTTTAAAAGCATTGGGATTTTTTATAGTTTTACATTTTCTCATCATTAAACTTGCTTTAAATAAGCTTGAAAATGTAATTCACTGAAGTAATGCAAGTGTAATTTACTGCTCTACTTGAATATGGTCTTTTTTGACACTTTTTACGTCTTCTGCATGGAGTTTAGGGGACTCTTATGACTTTTCTTATTTTCTTTTATTATTCGATGGTACTACTTTCTGGTTACAAAATATTTGATTTGCTTCTAAAACATGAGCTGATTAATATATTGGTTGCTTGACATGCTTATTTGGCAACTCGTTTGACAGCAATTTGAGGAATTTCTAAAGTACATTCACTCACTTCATGTTACGATTGGTTGGACAAACTTGTGAAATCGTGTTAGTATCTTCAGGGTGTGTAGGTAGTCATGTCAAGATTTGTTATCATTTCTTTTTACAGACTAAACAATCCGTCTATTAAGCAGCAGATAAATCAGGTTGTAGTCACAGAAAAGGTTGCACAAACTTAGCTCCTCATCAGTCCACAATACAGGAACATTATTTTTCTATTTCTTCTGCATCTCGCCCTTTTACGTTAACCTGAATAACATTTTCAATTTAGATCTTTAAACACAATGTTTTAACAGTAGACCTATAATGTTTATGTTTTTAGTTCAGGAAAGGATCTGAATGCTTCTTTCACCTCACCTCTGCTGCACACTATTCAACTTGCGACATGCAGTTTTTTGGAGAGGTAACCTGCATTTCCTGCAGAGCCTGTTTACACCCTCATGTTTCGTAAATCAGTGCACAGCCATCCTGAGAGTTGTAACACCAAAACCCTTTTTAAAATTCTTACATTGAATCACAGTAGGTCTGCTGTCTTTATCTTTAAGAGATAATGGAAGAATAACCTCTAAGTTTCAGGTCAACATATTTATGTATGTGAGAGAAACAGTGTTAGGATTAAACCTGTTGAATTACAGATAGTGCAGGTTTTGGTGGTTGAATGATTTAATCTTCTACATTTGTTGAAAGATGAAGCTGCAATCATTGGCCTTACAATTATTTAATAATGAACTGTAATTATTTTTTATTTTTGAGACTTTATTGAATTCAGTTTTGATTCTAAACACATCTGAATGTTTTTAAAAATGCAACTTTGGAAACTGCAAATTAAGTCAAAATAAAATTTATTTTTTTCCTGCATATTTTATTATTTAACACACATTTTTGAATAATTATTGTCCCTCATTCTATGAGACTTTCCAGGAAAAGTAGACTTTGTTTATTATCAAACAAGTTATTCTTTGACATTCATGAATGTAAGTCTATTCCCTAATTTTGTTACATAATTAAAATAAAAGTGTCTTTTTGTTCTGCACGTAATAGTAACCCCTTCCTGTGCTTCTGTATTGTACATTTGCTCTATAGGGAGATGTGGTGGGTGCTGTGGGTGCTCGCCGCCTTGCTGGCTCTCTTCTGCTGTCTGGATGTGTGGTACTTCTTGCGGGCAGCCGCTGTGATTCTGCGGGCCTGGTTCCAGCCTCCAATCCGGGACATCACAGCAGAGCAGACCCTCACAGGCCGGGTCACTACACATGACATCGACATGTGTCACATGAACAATGCTCGCTACCTCCGGGAGTGTGACTTTGCCCGCTTCTCTCTCTACACACGTAACGGTGTGTTCAAGGCCCTGCGAGCACTGCGAGCTTCAATGGTCGTTGGGGCCACCACCATTCGTTACCGCAGAGCTCTGTATATAGGGGAGGGCTACGAGCTGCGGAGTCGCATCGTCACTTGGGATGACAAAGCCTTTTTCCTGGAGCAGAGATTTGTGTCGACAAAAGACGGGTTGGTGTGTGCCGTCATGTACTGTAAGCAGAGCATCATACGCAGCAGCCCGGACAAGATCATGCAGCACCTCTGTAAGCGAAAGGTAAGAAATGTGCTTAAATTCATACAGGTTTTACCGCAAAGTGTAAATTACAAAGTGCTTTAGGATGATACGGTTATTCTGTGGTCCTAACAGGTGGAGTGTCCTGAGTTTCCAGAGGATCTTCAACACTGGGTTAACTTCATCTCCGCCAGCAGCCAGGCTCTCAGGGCAGAGAGCGGGCTGGAGGAGAAGGACAAATGAGGTGTTGCATGGGCAACTGTTGAGACTAACTTATGTATGTCTTCTGTTCTTGATTACTCGACTTGAACACACTCGTGCCTATACCTCTGATAACAAGACACAACATAACACTCACCTGTGTCAACACTGGAACAAGATTTTGAAGATAACTTCCTCCTTTAGGAAAGTAATATGAATGTGTAAGGTGTGTCCTCTTGTGCTATGAAAGCAATAAAACACATCCGTTTTGAAGTCGTATTGGTGCACTTTTATTCCCTCACCAAACGTTTAAAGGGACTTTTTATTACTGGCTAAAAAGTGGAATTGTTGCATCAAACACAATCGTCCAAAGAAAACAGAAAAACACATGAACACATCCAGAAAATGAATATTAGTCTTTAATAACAACCATCCATTGTCTGTACAGCTTTTTCCCTAAAAATATATATATATATTTTAAACATTGTTTAATCTGAATTTATCTGAGTACTGAAGTTTTTTCATTAACTACATTAAAACTGCCTTTTACACAAGGCTGGCTTATCAAGAATATGTGCATTAACAAAAAACTTTGAGTGCATCAATTATACATCAATTGTTGACTAAGAATTCATGGCCCATGAAGACAATGCCACCAGTAAGAAAATTTATATTCAGCTGTGAGAAATTACATTTTTGAAACTATAAGTAAATGGATATGAGGGATCGTGGAGAAGCTTGGTCGCAGTGCTGTGATCATGCGAAGACATTTGCATTGAATTTTCAAATAAAGTATTCACTGTGAGAAAAGAGGACTCAAGTGACTGTAGGGCTGAACTGAGTCCACCATGTGGCGCTAGCAGATAACACAGCAGCGCCCAATGCCGTTAAACCTCAAGAGAAGAAGAAAGAGAAAATTCACATGTCGTCACAAACCCGGAAGTCACACTCATTCATTCTACCGGTTTCTTCAAGTTATAGCGCATCTCATGGTAGCGCTATCTTCTGGACGCACAGTAAGTTTTACAGGCATATACATAATGAATAACGCTACAGTATTTATGATATAATACAATTTTAGAATATGCGAAAACTTAAAGTAACGACTTTGCCTTTAAAGACAATGGTTTCAATTCTGCCAAGGCCACCAGCTGCTGGCAGCTAGCAGCTAAGCTAACAGATTTTGGCTGTCACAGCAGTTGCGCCGCGTTCATTTGAATGCTGCAGCGTTTCGCTTCCTGATTAACTCAAGGTTGAAATAAATGAATATAGGACTTCCGTATGTGTAAATTAAATACAATGACAGCGAGCGAATAAACACTGTTCTCTTGTTTTTCTATAAACCTACACTGACATTGAAGAGGTCAAAGTAGCATTTTATTTTATACTGTGTTGAGATTAATTTAGAAAACTCTATACAAGCACATGTCTAAAATGACTTAGGTGTAGGATGTCATCGATTCTGCTCTTAAAGTCACATGATATTGCTATTTGTATTGTGTAGTATTTTATTTACACCTAAATTATTTATTACCTTATTTTACCTTATTTTATTTTACCTTATTTTACCTAATTTTATTTTATCTATTTTACCTTATCTTATTTTATCTTATTTTATCTATTTTACCTTATCTTATTTTACCTTATTTTATTTTATCTATTTTACCTTATCTTATTTTATCTTATTTTATTTTATCTTATTTTACCTTATTTTATTTTATCTATTTTACCTTATCTTATTTTATCTTATTTTACCTTATTTTATTTTATCTATTTTACCTTATCTTATTTTATCTTATTTTATTTTATCTTATTTTACCTTATTTTATTTTATCTATTTTACCTTATCTTATTTTATCTTATTTTACCTTATTTTATTTTATCTATTTTACCTTATCTTATTTTACCTTATTTTATTTTATCTATTTTACCTTATCTTATTTTACCTTATTTTATTTTATCTATTTTACCTTATCTTATTTTATCTTATTTTACCTTATTTTATTTTATCTATTTTACCTTATCTTATTTTATCTTATTTTATTTTATCTATTTTACCTTATCTTATTTTACCTTATTTTGGTTGTATTGGACCGTGGGACAGAGACAAACGCAATTTCGATTCCACTGTATGTCTGGCGTATTTTGAAATTGACAATAAAATTGACTTTGAAATCAATTGGATGAGGATGGCTTTTTATCACTTACACTGGGACTGTTGTTTCAGAGAGATGCTGCTGCTGGTCCTGGGTGCCCTCCTCCTGCTCTTCTGCAGTCTGGATGTGTGGTACTTCCTGCGTGGTGTCCATGTCTTTGTAGAGGCATGGTTCCAACCCAGAATATGGGACATTCTAGCTGAGCAAAGCATTGAAGGAATGGTCCTCCCACATGATTTGGACTATATGGGCCACATGAACAACTCCCGATATCTTAGGGAGTGTGACTTTGCACGCTTCCACCATTACATGCGCAACGGGCTGTTCATGGCCTCACGCAAACTGGGGGCCAAAATGGTGGTTGGGGCCTCCACTATACGATACCGGCGCTCCCTGGCTTTCCGAGAGGCTTTTGAGATCCGGACCAAAATACTGGGATGGGACGAGAAAGCATTTTATTTGGAGCAGCGCTTTGTGTCCAAGAGAGATGGTTTTGTCTCTGCGGTTATGCTCTGCAGGCAGAATGTGGTTCGCTCCAGCCCAGAGATCATCATCGAGTATATCTGCAAAAGGAAGGTGAGTAAGAATAAGACAAAAAGCATGTATTAACCATAGTAAGCAAAATTGATTTAAATTACGTTTTACCCTGATTATTTTATGAAGTAGTGAGAAAATATCAATCAAACTAAACTTAAGTCTTAAGTTATGTCAGTTACAATGCAAAGTCTAAAATCAAAATATTCATGAGGTCTAGAAAAGCATCCAATACTTAAGCTGTCTCATAGTCCTTTTCTACCCTTTACTTTAAAATCACTCTTAATTGATGATCAGAATTGTATCATATTGTATTGGCTTTATTCTACTAAACCCTATTCTGAATTTGTGTTTGTGTGCAGATCGAGTGCCCTAAGCTTCCTGAGGACCTGAAACACTGGATCAACTACATCTCAGCCAGCAGCCAGGCTCTGAGAGCCGAGAGCGGACTGGAAGAGAAGAACAAGTGAAGCCGCACCATGAGTGTAGACCCATATCTTTTGAATTGCACGTACACATATGAAATACATACACCCACACGAACAGTTAAAACATCGTAGAGAGTGTTTAGTTGACTTACCAGATTCCATTTATCTCAGTTTTACCAGCTGTGTATTTTTGTATGACGTGAACAGAAATACTGAACTTAGGACAGCTGAATATAAAAAAACTTGAACTTGAATTTATTCCATGTTTTAAAACGCTCCATATGAATGCACTGGGATCATTTTGAAAGTTGTTTTCACTGAAACAAGCGAGCGATACTGTAGTTTTATCCGTGAAGCTTATTTGGCAGTTGACTGTGAATAGACCGGCTTTCATTCTCATTTAGCAAAATCTTCTAACTTTAGACTAGCATGTAGAGCAGAACTTAACCTTCCACTGACATCGATGCATGTTTTAAAACAGAGGTATATTTTTGTGCCTGTTTACCTTTTATTAGCCGTAGATTCCAATTTCAAAGAATTATAACTTTCTATGGAAAAATAGAAGGCGCAACGCAATACCTGAATGAAAACCATGGACATGTACTGACTTTTGTTTTAATCTACCAATCGCATTCCGCACAAAAGCAGCCCAACTAAGTACACACAATGAATTCCTGTCAACAATCTAAATGGGAATATTTGAATTAAAGGGATTATTTATCAGTTCAGTATTGTTCTTTTACTGACTTTATGATAGATGCAGTTAAAGGGGAGGCTTCTTGATTGGAATTGGGTGTAAATAGTAGAGAAAGTCCTTGATTCCTGACATGACAGGAAAATGATCATAAGAGGTTTGCTGGCTACTATTTTGGACCTTCAACGCACAATAAGCGCTTATGCTGGAATTATTTATTGAGAGAGCCTTTTTAGATCTAGAAGCTTCCCTTTAATGCTTCAAAAGCATTAGGTTGTGACCAAAGTAATGTATTGTTCTGAATGAAGATGGAAAGAAATCAATTCCTAAAACATGTACCGGTATGTCTTGCCTGTTATTTATGTTTTGAATGGCACTTATAAAAACATCCTGTTCAGTTATTTTTGTTTACTGACAGCTGCTGTCCTTTTATTTTACACTTAACTTATTTATGTTTTATTGAAAAGGGTTAATGTACCAAATAATATTTATTGTGTCTGTTAATTATTTAAAAGCATTTTAAATTAAAAATGTATTTAAAACTGTGACTCATCAATGGGTTTTTTTAAGTGCTTGTTTTTAAGTGTTAACCTCAGCTACTAATGAACTGTAGTTTGTAGGCCTGATGACCAATATTTGTATCCACAGCTCACTGATGCTGCAGGATATTTATTTTTTTGTTAAGTATGTTAACATCCCTCTACAAACTGAGACATGTTTACTCTCAACAAACCGCTGAAAGAGATCAAAAAACAAACTAATACTTAATTAGTGTAAGAGTGACATTTTCTTTGTTTCTCAATGTTCTTCAAACTAGAACTCAGTTGTGCTTACTATGCCCTATACTGTACATATATATATATATATATATATATATATAATTGTTGAAATTAGAGGTTTGAAAGGAGCGTGGATATACATTACTCACATAGGTGCAGTTAAACAACAGCAGCAATAAAAAGCCTGCACATTAATAAGCCACACTCATGCTACAAAAAGTTGAATGATGGCCTTCAAGGTTTGAACCAAAAGTTAGTCTGCCAAACAAAATTTGGTCAAACTGTTGTGGAATTGGGTAAAGTGTATAGACTTGTCCCCCTTTTCTTTAATTGGGGACTTTGCATTATCTTAAGGTTTGTACTTTTACCTTGCTTTCTAAGTTCTACTTTACTATCTTACAGAGGAAATGTATCTGACAGCTACAAAAACAGTGTGCACACTTAAAGAGTATTAGTGAATAGAATATCATCGTTTTATAAAATGTATCTAACAAAGAGTATGATTAGCAGTACCTTGATCAGCTACTTTGGTGTGGAGATCATTAAATCTACAACCATGGCTGACAGGAGTATTACTGTTTAAATGACCGGTTTACCTCTGTGCAGTGATGTTATTTTGAACCTGTAAGTGGAATATTCACACCATTGTTTTGTTATTCTTTAAAGAATTGCCCAAAATAAAAAAAATATTCACTCATATTCATTAATTCCCCACTGTAATTATGTTACAAAGGACATTTCCACTATTAATAGATAAAATATAAGGCCTACATTTTTTTTTTTTTGTCATTCTGGAGATTATCTATCTTTAGACACTTTATTCTGAAATGTAGTGTTTTAAAAATTAAACCCCTGCCAGCGTTTCCGGTGACGCGTCACTGACCACGCCCCCACACTTTACTTCCCGTAAACAAAACAGCAGCTGTCTGTCAATAGCATTCCTGTGTTTTCGGTCGTTTTTCTTTGTCCCTTTTCGACCATGGCTCATGCCGGACTGGTTCTGGACAAGGACCAGTTTAACTGCTCGATATGTCTGGACGTGCTGAAGGACCCAGTGACCATCCCATGCGGACACAGTTACTGCTCGGGCTGTATTCGGAACTACTGGGACCAGGATGACTACTTGGGGATCTTCGTCTGCCCACAGTGCAGGCAGAACTTTAACCCGAGGCCGCTGCTCGCTAGGAACACTATGCTGGCCGACGTGGTGGATAAGTTCAAAAAGACTGGACTACAAGAGGCCGTCAGCCAAAGCTTTGCCGAGGCGGACGACGTGGAGTGCGACGTGTGCACCGGGAGGAAAAACAAAGCTGTGAAGTCCTGTCTGGTGTGTCTGGCCTCCTACTGCGACGTCCACCTCCAGCCCCATTACGAGTCTGCTGCTTTCAAGAAACACAAGCTGGTGTCGGCCTCCAAAAGACTCCAGGAGACCATTTGTGCCCGACACGACAAACTACTAGAGGTTTACTGTCGCACAGACAAACAGTGCATATGTTACCTGTGTCTGACGGACGAGCACAGAGGACATGACACAGTGCTGGCTGAGACTGAGATACAACAGAGACAGGTAATCACATCATCTGATACCTTCAAAACCAGGCTGCTGATCAAAGGCACCACACAGCTATCAGTTTTACTCAACACTCAATACAACTCTGTGGTACTTCTTGACTCTTTCCGTGCTCTAACGCTATCCTTCTTCCACTACATTTCAGAGACTAAGTATTTTTTGTTTCACACAGTTACATGGAAAATATATGATTTAAAAATGATCCCATGAAGTGCTTACAAAATGCATTTTGTATTAAGATGACAGATCACATGTGTCTGATGTATCTATCTCCTTGATTTAATTAAGTCAGTTTTGACTTGTGGTTGGTAAAGGAAAGTACTGACAATGTGTCCCTTTTAACTCTGGTAAATTTAGCTTTCTTAAAGTTGTTCTGTTGCCACCATTGAAACCGGCCTCCAGTACTGCCTAAACAATAGTAAGGGTTATCATGACTGTGCTGGTCAACTCCCCAGTCTGATAGCTTGATGTCCGGTAAATTATAATGTAACAAGAACAGCCTGATGCTAACTAAAACTGTAGTGTGAATTAAAGCTGGCAAAAGAGCAGCGATCATTGTTATTACACTATTATGTATATGTTTTTTTTTAACCAAACTGGTATCGTTTTGGAACTTTGGTCTTGAACAATACTCAAGTCTAGGTATTTACATTTTTATAAATGTAATATCTGTTATTACACAAGTCAAGCATAACACAAAGTCTTGTTCTCTAGGCTCTATGGGAGATATACACATAGTGCAGACACAGACACAGTGAAAGCAACACTCACAAGACTGTTTGAACTTAGAATTTAAAAAACTAGATCAGTAAATAAAGATGTAAAGGTCATTATTAGTAGCATGAAGTCATAGGTATATACACAGAGCCCGCAAACATTTTCATTACTGCACATTCTGAAATAAGGCTTAGTTCAAGGTGTGTGAGTTCACTGGCTTCTAGAAATACCCTTTAGTTTCTGTCAGATTCTCAGATCCCTATGATGTGATTTAAGTGACTGTAATTGACCTTCTTATGATGTGATCCCTCAGAAACAGCTTGATGACATGAAGCAGAACTCTCAGCTGAAAATTCATCAAAGGGAAAAGGAGGCACAGGACCTGAGACAAGCCATATTCTCCCTCATTGTAAGTACAAAACACCCACTACGGTGTGATACATAAATACAACAGATCTATACCCTAAGTCAATCACTCAATCAATCAGTCTTTATTTATATAGTGCCAATTCATAACAAGGGGTTAAGGAAAGTGGATACTGAAAGGAGATAGGAGGAACAATTCAAACGCACCCTTAGACTGCTGGGGGACCTGGCTAAGACTATAGCAGCATAACTCGGAGGCGGTCCATACCTGAGCCAGCCCTAACTATAAGCTTTATAGAAAAATAAAAGTTTTAAGCCTACTCTTCAAAGTATAGAGGGTGTCTGCCTCCCGGACCCTGACTAGTAGATGATTCCAGAGGAGAGGGGTCTGATAACTGAAGGCTTTACCTCCCATAGTACATTTAGAGACTGTAGGTACCACGAGCAGGCCTGCACTCTGGGAGCGTAATGTTCTCAAAGGGTAGTACGGTGCTATTAGCTCTTAAAGATAAGAAGGCGCCTAGCCAGCTAGAGCTTTGTAAGTGAGAAAAAGGATTTTAAAATCTATTTTATAGGGAGTCAGTGCAGAGAAGCCGATAGAGGAGTAATGTGAGCTGTCTCCTAGATCTAGTCCAGTACACAAGCTGCAGTATTCTGGACCAGCCAAAGAGTCTTTCGAGACTTACTAGGGTCTCTCTTATTTCACTGTACATCATAGTTGATAATAAACCATTTAATCACCCATACGGTCCCCCGCTATTTGCTTCTTTGTGTCTCCCTACAGCGTTCCGCCCGGGCAGCATCAGAGGAGAGCGATGCCGTCTTCACCGAACTGATCCGCTCGATTGAGCTGAAGCGGTTCGAGGTGAGAGAGCTGATCAAAGCCCAGGAGAAGACGGCTGTCAGTCAAGCTGAGCAGCTGCTGGAGAAGATCCAGAAGGAGATTGCTGAGCTGAAGAAGAACAAGGCAGAACTGGACAAACTTTCCCACAGTGATGACCAAATCCATTTCCTCCAGGTAATAACCCCCTCAGATTGTTGTTTTTTTTTTGTTCCCCCTCGAGGGAAGTATCACCATAAACATTTAAAACTCTTGGTCACTGTGTTTTTCCCTCCAGAGTTGTCAGTCTCTCCTTGCTCCACCTATGCTGTCAGCTCTTCCTTCAGTCAGCGTTGACCCCGGCCTCACCTTCGGCCCGGTCATGACAGCTGTGTCGGACTTTAAAGGGCTGCTGCAGGAGGTCTGCCAGGGAGGATTTGTGAGCATCTACGAGAGAGGTACGTACAAATGTTAATATCATGTTTTATTCTGGCTGTACTGTCAACTCTTGTTCATGTGACTCTGTGTTTGTGTCTTTTGTAGTGAGAGATGTAGTAATAGTAGGTCCTCAGAGTCCTGCTGTGCAGCTCGACACAACACAGCCCACTGACGGTGCATTATCTGTACAAATGGAAGCAACAGAAGGTGAGTTTATAAAAACCTGTTTGTGCTCAACTTTGATAAAAACAAGTGGATGAGACACTCACAAAATGACAGCTTTAAATACAGTCTTTGTCACTGTTTAAGTAAATAAAAGAATAATAGAAAGAATTGATATCTGTTTAATCAAACAGGACATTTAAGTATACTGTTTAGATTGACATTGTATTTTAGATGTTCAGCTAAAATGTTGTACGTGTCTATCGCTAAGCCTGAAGGGAAGGTCTGTGGTACAGGTACAGAAATCTGACCTATTATGAAATACCTTAAACTTATCATTTGAATCATTGAATCCATGTCTCTTTATTTATCTATCCATTTTCTGCTGGCCGCCTGTTTCCAGGCTGTGTTTAAGGATTCATCTATGATATGGACAAACCTGTTCTCACTACTTAATACACTCTTTTTAAAAATGTGCAGGCCTCTTCATGTGTGCTGGTTAACATTGAAGTTTATTCTATTTTTATTGTCTATTATGTGACATTGTAGAAAGTCTATCACATTATTCGTTTGATTGCTTTTGACTCCCATCAGTCCACATTCCCACGCAGCACAAACACCTGTGTCAACTTGTTTGTTTTTAGTGAAGCCTGCTGATTGTGCACAAGTGGAGATGTGACAGTGCTGCAGTTTCTGGAGCGCAGAGACTCTGCAGTAACTGTGTTTGTTGTCTTTGTGTTTCCAGTGATCCCTCCAACTGGCTTAGACCAAAGTCCCGTCAACCTTTTCAACCCTTTACTCAACCCAGGACCCTCTGCGCCCACCTTCAACTTCTCACCGTTTGGTAAATGAATTTACTAAATAAATGTATGTCTGCAGGAAACCGTCTGCAGGTATCTGTGGTAACACACTAACTGATATTTTAGAGAAACCCACAACATTGCAACTACTTAAATGGTTCTAGTATTGATCTGTTGTTTGAGATGACAGTGATGGGAAGATTTCAAGTTGCGGGGCTAAAGACATTACAAACACAGTGACATCTGGTGGCGTCTAAAAGGAACAGCATCCCTTTAGGACTGTGGTCAAAGCACTACAAACCCACAACAAACAAACATGTTACATATTATTACAGAAACAAAGTGTTACATTTCTGCATTAAAAATAACTAGACTTGTTTTAAAGATTTATTTGAGTTGTGAAGTTACAGTTTCCCAGTTGTTTCCCACAATATTCAAAGCCAAAGAATGATTTCATTATTTTTTAACGCCTGTCCTCCAAAGAAACGAGGGAATCACCTGAGTTATGTGCAAGAAAGCAAAGAAGGAATTCAGTCAACTGTTTATAACAGCAAACAGCTAGTCTGAAGGACTGGACAAAATGTTATTAAATTGAATATATATATTCCCAGTGAATAAAGTTAATACACCTCCCCCCCATGAACATGATGTCTGCCTGAGTCCCATCAGATAAATGATGGTTGTTTAAAACATCTATTAATCTTTGACCTTTTATTGCTGCATCAGGGCTGTAATAATTCATTTTTTCTGTTCCCCAGGCTCAAAGTTCTCTACAGGGGCCAGACAGAGACACATGCAGAGACGTGCTCACCCCAGGAGGAAATAGACATTTAGTGGACATCAACATCAACACAAGCTGAATGTCTTTATAGCGCCGTGCTGTCTGCAGCTTTTCCTCTCAGAGAACTGAACACTGAGGAGTAGTTAATTTTTTAATTCACCTTTTGCTATTAATTCAAATGCTTTGTTTTCGGCTATCCTCTTTGCTTGCACAATGGTGCAGATGGACAAGTGATGAGGCATTTGTAAGAGCCACTGCAGATCCCATTAACAGTACATCAACTTAAAGTATTAAGCAGCTCAAAGCAGGACTCTACACATCTTATTCCAATATTTTGAAGGACCTTGCCTTGAAGTTTTGTATTGTTTTAGTTCTTTTTAAAAAGTCTTGTCATATCATTTTTAACCAAACCTACAGAACAATTTGCTGAACAGATGTGTGCTAATATATTGTGATTTGTGAAATGCAGACATAAAAAAGAAATCAAATGTTTCTCAGTCGTGGAGTTTATGTGCATGAGGGTTGGTTCATATTTCATTGTACTATGAATAAATACTGGTATGTATACTTAGGAGAGGTGTATCAATAGGGGCTTGTTTGCACCTCTTCTGGAACAGCCTATTTCCTGGTTTGCTGGCTGTGATTGGAGGCCTCAGGGTGCAGCAGGTGAAACCAGAGAAGCTGTTATGAGCACACCTGAGAGACACGCCCATCTTTGTTCCTGCCAGTTTCTGTTGGGAGTGTGTAAGAAATGGCAGCAGCAACTATTTCTATAGAACAAGACCAGTTTTGTTGTTCGGTGTGCCTTGAGATTTTGAGAGACCCAGTGACGATCCCGTGTGGACACAGCTACTGCCTGGACTGCATTGAAGACTACTGGAACAGAGCCAAGCAGAAGGGCCAATACAGCTGCCCTCAGTGTAGACAGGAGTTCAGTCCCAGACCTCTGCTGAGCAGAAACACTGTCCTGGGTGAAGTGGTGGAGAAGTTACAGCACTCCGGATTTCAAGTTCCACCTCAAAACGTGTCCAAAGCAGAAGAGGTGAAGTGCAGCGAGTGCACAGTGAGGAAAACCAAAGCTGTTAAGTCATGCCTTGTGTGTTTGGAGTCGTACTGTGGGGCTCACCTGAGAGTCCATGAGGATCGCTTTCATGGGAAGGCCCACATGTTGATCCCAGCTTCAGACCAGCTGAGGGAGAAGCTGTGCCCGCAGCATGATAAGGTACTGAGGCTGTACTGCCGCACTGACCAGCAGTGTGTGTGTTCACAGTGTCTTAAAGGGAGACACAAGGGCCACGATGCAGTCACTATAGTGGACGAGAGAGCAGCACAACAGGTGAGTTTGATTATTTTTGAAGCTTTTTAAACGGTTAATATTCAACTAGAAACACTCAGGAATGTGCCTACAATTTTATAAGTGTTTTACAATGACAAATATAAAGTATAAATAAAATATAAACACTGTTTGGCACCAAACGTCAAAGAATTTACCCAAACTACTTAATTTTACAGGTCAAAGTCAGGTTACTGGTTTAGGTTTTTGTTATGGGGCTGATGTCTTCCGCGGATCTAGAGAGCTTCATTAAGATTGGCAAAATAACCTTCATGACACCACTGTGACGTCATCATGGGTTTTTATTGTTGCAGTTTGGGCTTGTTTCAACTTTAAATAAGATTGATAGGGATTAAAAAAAAAGAGTCCCATATTGATGACATTTAAACATATTACATACGTACATTGCAAGCATAACAACAGATCATATTGTGCTTTGAAAATAAAACTGTATGCTAAATATGTGTTTGATTGTGTTTAAATGACTGACTTGCTGAATTGAAGCATTTGAGTTTGGTTTTCAGGCCCCTTTGTTTTATTCAAAGAATGGTTTGATATTTTTTTTTGTAAAAATGTTTATTCACTTTCTCTCAGAGACTTCAATAAAATTCAACACCAGTCTTGTGTTTTTCTATAAATAATAAGACTGAGTGGATATGGCCTGCAACCATGAGGCTAGATCAGCAAAAAAAAGTTGAAAACAGAAAAAAATGAGTGCAAGGAAACGAGCAGTGACTCCTGGAAGTTCACTGTTCCCAGCGACTTTACAAGTCCAAACCTCTGCAGTATGTTTTCCAGTTCGTGTGTTTAGATTAGACTGTAATGACCCTGAAAAGTAGTGCCCATTGTGGTTCAAAATTCTGCCTTCAAAAGTCCCTTTATTAAAGTACTTAAAAGCCTTTATTATCTGTGTCCCAGCATGTGCTCAGGGTCCAAATGCTGACTGTGTTGATAATCCAGGGACGAATCAGCAAACCAAATAATTGAATAGAAGACTGACCTCTTAATGCTTTACATATTATCAGTATTCAGGCATGCAAATGTCCCCTGCACCTCACGCTGACTCTCACCTGAAACTAGATTTTCTGGACTATTGACTCGTTTTCTGCACTTCACAAAATAAATGTAAGATACATTGCTGGAATAACTTGCTGTAGTACCAGAAGATAGATTATTAAAGCATAGAGCAGCAACACAAAACAGACCCATAAATGATGTTTCTGGTATTCTTATAAAGTGGCCTTAAGGCTTCAATACTTCAAATATTGAAAAGAAAGTATAAAACCTGGTCTTGTACTGGTATGTTGGGCTCTGATGTCACTGTGTTAAAAGTTTGGACTGAAAGAGCAAAGCCTTCCAGTGCAATCCGACCCTTTGATTGTAAAATCAAAACTTTCCGCTTGAAATTTGAAGCCTGAGGGAACGCACTGTGTGATATTCATCTTTTGTACTCTCCCAGAAAAACCTCCAGGAATCATCTTTGAAGTCGCTGCAGAAAATGAAGGATGCAGAGAAGGAAATCAGATATGTTGTCAGATACATAAAGGTGAGTTGGTTTTCAATTTACTAGCAACTGTGTCTATATTGTTGTTACAAAGTCAAAGTTGGATGTGAGTGATTGCTTCCAAAAGGAGAGGGGGAAAAAAACGTTATCTTCCACAGCACTCCACAGAGGCAGTGGTGGAGGAGAGCGAGAGGATTTTCTCGAAGCTGATCCGCTCCATAGAGAAGCAGAGCGGCGAGGTGAAGGAGCAGATCAGAGGGCAGCAGAGAGCGGCTGTCAGTCAGGCTGAGGAGCTGCTGGAGAAGATCCAGAGGGAGACAGTGGAGCTGAGGAGGAGCGACGCTGAGCTGGAGAAGCTCTGTCGCACCGAGGACCACCTCCACTTCCTGCAGGCATGGAACAAAAGATAACTGAGCCAGCTCAAATGACTTGTGTTGAAGGAAGGTTAAATCAAATAAAATCAAGCAGTAATCAAATCCACCAAAAAACATCATCTGCTTCAAATCTGACTCCAAGTACATCTCCAGTTTTTTATCAGAAGCATGATTAAAAAAACGTGTAACTTTTTGGAAGGCAAATCTTAAAATGTAATATTTCTGTTACATTCTCGTGTTCATATAATAATACATTTTATTTCTAAAGCGCTTTTCAAGAACTCAAAGACTCTGAACATTAGTAATGATAGAAAGAACAGGACAACATAGTAAGAACAAATACCACAACAACACACACAGGTCATGTAAACAACACACAGCACAATCACACATTTAAAGCTGATGTGGGGTGAAAAAGAAGTATAATTTAAAAAAACAAGTATGGATGAAATGATAGGACTACTTTATGGAATGGAAAATAACTAAATAAGAAGAAAAAATAGGTATGAAATGATTCAAATGAAAGCAAACACTTAACTATGAATTGGCTTTTTTTTTGTAAGATTTATTTTTTGGCTTTTTGCCTTCATGGATAGAGTAGGAAACCATAGAGATAGAGAGGGGAATGACATGCAGGAAAGGAGCCACAGGCCAGACTCGAACCCCGAGTGGACTATGGCCTTCGTAAATTGGGTGCGACTTAACCGCTTGGCCATCTGTGCCCCAAAACTGAACTGTTCAACATTATCAGGAACATTTTAAACCATAAGTCTATGCTTCAGAAGGGGTTTACCAACCTTTTCAGTTTTCACTGTACTGCAGTTTCCTGGATCTACAAAATGACAAAAGTTATTTTAAGATGAGTTTTAAACAAACAATTTATCTCTCAGTTCATGAACCGAAATAAAAGTAAAGGGAAAGATAAAAGAAGAGAAGACCTTGGCCGTTGCAAAAAGCCTGTCACAATGCTCTATTGGCTTTCGAAGACCCACTGTAAAGGGGGAGGGGAGGGGGAGGGGTTGGCCTAATCCAGCACATTATCTCAAACTTCCCATTAGGTAGTCTTAATTCCCCTTTTTTTATGTAACTAGAACTGTGAAAACTTTGTGAATTCTGAGTGCAAATAATGAAGATGAATTGAGATTGAAAACAATTAGTGGTGTCTGATTTTAACTTTAACCCCACACTAGTTTATCAAGCCAAATAATTTTGTTTTACAATTGTATAATGACAATAAAGACATTCTATTCTATCATGATAATTGCATTATATTGATTGATTAGAAAATATTGGCATTAAAAAGTTTCCAATAAATATCAAGATTTAAAAGTTCTCAAACATAAAAGTTCTTCATTATAATTAATTTGTCATTTCAGTCAATTTTGTAACTTTTTGAGCTTTTGTTCATTGAACTGTTTTTAAATGTTTCCTGACGTGGTGGACAGTCTAAGCTTGTTAAGTTAATCACTGAACTGTAACACTCTGCAAAGTAGTCTTATATAGTGCATGTTTCCCTAACAGATCCAGTTAACAGGATTTTTAAATACAGTGAACTTCTGATGTTTTCACCTTGCACAGTGATTCCTTCATGCTTGTCACAGTTGTTGCCCTTACATTTAAATCCTGCTGGCTGATTTGTTTTTTTGTTGTCCATCACTACAGAAGTGCAAGTCTCTTCACTTCCCTGTAAAGTCTGTGGAGATGCCCGACACTGACGCTCTTCAGTATCTCATGTATAAAACCATGAGAGGAGCTCTGGCTGACCTCAAAGACAGTCTGGATGAAACACTTGAGAAAGACTTCGACAGAATCTCTGAGAAAGGTCCGTTGTTTTTTTTTTTTTTAACCTTAAAGACGATTACATTCAGTTTGTTTTTGAAAGTGTTGACAATATTTACTTACTAGTTGCTCTTTCGTATTTCCAGTCATGTCACTGAAGGAAACAAGCAATCAAATAACCTCTGAAAAAGCTAAAGGTATGCAAGCTTTCACATCTGACTTCAGATCCTAGTTTTTAGTTTTTTGAAATGTAAAACATCACTTTTTTGCTCTTCACTAGTGCTCTAGATAGATTATTTTATTGAAGCTAAGATTTGGTTTTAAGTTTAGCATCAACAATGTCACATTTAGTCTCCACCTGCCATTAGCAGGGCCTGAAGCATAATTTTAAGCTTGGTCATTGCACCTTTAATATAAAATGAGCCTTATGAGTTGTGTGTCTCTTTGTCTTGATCAAGATATTTTCAGCACATTTCTTAACTTTGTAATCTCAATTACACTGTGAGCTTCATTCAAAGTGATGAAGCTTTTATTTCATGAAACAAAGAGCGTATGGTAATCATACAACTTCGATCCTCTTACCTTTTCTGGTGTGTTTAATGTCTGTCATCATCTTTCAAACAGCCAAAAACACCGATCATTCCTACAACTCAGAACCGAAGACAAGAGCTGATTTCCTACAATGTGAGCACATTTTTGATGAACCTAACATCTGTCTTTTAGAACCCCTGCCTCAGTGTTTGACAATGTGCATCTACTCTCTCCAGATTACAATGAAGTCACCCTCGACCCGACCACAGCCAACCCGTATCTCTCCTTCTTCAATGGTCATAGAGGAGTGACCACACGTTTAGAGCCTCAGACGTACCCGGAAAACCCGCAGCGCTTCACCAGCTGGGCTCAAGTGCTGTGCAAAGCCGGGATGGCTGGACGCTGCTACTGGGAGGTGGAATGGGCCGGTAATGGAGGGGTTTCTATCGGCGTCTGCTACAAAAACATGAACCGGAGCGGAGGAGGGAGTGACTGCAAGCTCGGACACAACTCCAAATCCTGGAGCCTGGACTGCTCCCCCTCATCGTGTTCGTTTCAGCACAAAAAGGAGAGTGTGACCATCACTGATACTAAATGCAGCAGCAGGATAGGATTGTTTCTGGACTTCAGGGCTGGGACTTTGGCAGTATATAATGTTTCTGATACAATGGTTTTGCTCCATAAAGTCAAGGCGACATTCACGCAGCCCGTATACCCAGGATTCTGGGTGGGGTTGGGCTCTACGCTGCAGCTGTGCTCTCTTTAAAATGTAAAAATTATCTCCACTCCATCAGAGGGAAAAGTCCTTAAGATACCTTTAAAGCACTGGGTTAAAAAAAACAATGACACAGAGCCAGGTTTTTGTGCTCAAAACGTTGCATTTTATTAACCATGCAAGCAGAGAACAGCAACACTTTGGTGGAGCAGGTAAAGAGGCGGGGGAGCTTAGATCTTATTGAAGGCAGCAACATCTACACTCTGGACCTGCAGAGACAGAAAAGAATAACACAAATATTTATGATGTTACAATGTGAATTATTGATCACTCTATTTTAATTATAAATCTTTAATTAATAAAGTATTCACAACCTACAAATTCAGAAATATTTCCTTTCTCAAGTATTTAAGGCAAATGTTTTGGAAACTGGCGTTCTGCTAAGATTCAGATAACGATGTGAATCTCAGTTGACTTTGGGCTTAGTTAAGACTGGTCCTGTTTAAAGTACCTTAACTGATTTCACCAACCAACATCTCTGAAGCCATTTCATTCAATCGCCTTATATTGTTTTAGTAATCAATTAAAAACATTTAAACAAAAAAACAATCCCTTGTTCTGCAGGGAATGCTTAGGCAGTAGTTGTGAGAACCATGACTCAGGTTCTCCAAGGTGGATCTGTACTTACTGTTCCTTTTCAACGTGAGACAGATATCAGTGATATCCACGTTACTGAACTCTGAACTTTAACCGATTTATCAACATTTGTGGGACATGATATCTAATCCTGAAAGGACAATTATGTTCTTTTAACCATAAAGGCTTGGTTTAAAAAATAAAAGATTATTTGAATCATCCTGCGAGGGAAATATTTTTTGCCTTCATATCAAATTCAGTAAAAGAGACTGGGACTTCATCAGTACTGCTGGCTGCATTGGAAAATTACTCTTAATAGAAAAGAGGAACTCAGATGTGTTCAAAATTCAGCAGATATAAATCAGAGCTATCTCCCCGTGAGGTTGAGTGAAAAACTGTTTTCCTGTTAGCGCAAACCAAGCCTTAAGTTATGCATCCTGTCATTACTCACAAAGTCCTCAAACTTGGTGATCTCCTCCTCCAGGATGTCTGTGCCAACTTTGTCGTCCTCAACCACGCAGTTGATCTGCAGCTTCTTGATGCCGTAGCCGACTGGCACCAGTTTGGATGCTCCCCACAGGAGCCCGTCCATCTGCACCGTGCGCACACACTCCTCCAGCTTCGCCATGTCAGTCTCGTCGTCCCACTGAAGAAAGAGAGAGGAAGACAAAAAAAACATTAAAGGATCATTGAGTTTACAGCAAGACTTTGACATTTGTTTTCAATCAGATATTACAGCAAACTACATACAAATGCACGGTTGAATCCTTATTCTTGGAACACACACATTGGGTTTCTTATTGAGTAATGAAGAGACATTTGAAGGCTCTGAAAGATACATTTCCTGCTTCTATTTAAGTTTGACACAACCGTAGTTTCCTTATTTATGAAGAGCCATAATGAAACCAGCATATTACATGAATGCTAAATGATACTGTTTTAAAAGACACGTACAGGCTTGACGTCCAACAGGATGGATGACTTAGCGATGAGTGTGGGTTTCTTGGCCTTCTTGGCTGTGTAGGCATCGATGCGTTCCTGTTTGAGGCGTTCTGCCTCCGCATCGTCATCATCACTGCCGAATAAGTCCACGTCGTCATCGTCGTCGTCGTCATCATCAGCATCATTGCCGTTCACCTGTTTGACTGGAGCAGCCTGCTCAAAACAATGGAAAAGGACAGGATTCAACAGATGTGTGAGAATGAAGGAGGCCAAAAGGTGTGTATGGAGATTCAGATGTTAATAAAACTGAAAGATTATTTCAATTTTTTTGTTGAGGTCGATTTGAAGTCACATCTAAATCTGTAAACATTAAATACAATTTCCTAGGGTGCAGAAATTAACTCTAGAGTTGTTAAAAATCCTTTTTTTTTGTCTTCAAGGGTCATTATAAAGGTTTTTGTTAAGAATGTTAGCGTTATACTTTCTATATTGTGATATTTAAATACAAACAAAGGAAAAGGCATACACTTTCCAATAACCCCCCCCAAGACAAGTGTGCCACGCCCCTTTTTAAAACATGTTAGGTATAATGAAAGAATCTTTAGTAATGGACTGTATCTAAAATGTTATTCCTTATTATTCACCTTGGCAGATGGGACGGCTGCTGCTGCGGGCGTCTTTTCAAGCATAGCCACTCTGGACTCCAGCTTCTGCAGGGCTGCTCTCATGCTCTCCACCACTGATGGAAAGTGAAGTAAAGGATGATTACTACTGTGCAACAAGAAGCAGCAGCTTTGGAAGGCATGAAAAACTCAACACACCTTTGTGCAGGGCCTGGTTCTCTAGCTCCATGCTCTTCATACGTGTGACCAGCTCCTGGTCTCCTCCGTGTGAGGACGACTGTGAAAAGATCAACACGTTTATTAAGCAATAGTCCGGCTGCTGGTCAGGGTTCAAATGTAAATGTAAAGGAGGATCACTCCAAGCCTAAAGGGAGGAAGCAGGCAAAAAAACAAAAGAACATGCAGAGCTATAATCCATTACAAGAAACAATTATTTGGATACACTTCACTCACACACACAATGCTGGTGTTAAAATTAACACCATTTTGGGTTTAAATGCTAGCATGCAGACAAACTGAGATTACTTTAAACAACAATCAAAATCAATTTGTCCCCCCACAATTATGTGGAGAATTCAAATTAATGTCTAAATAAAAAGTATTAAAGTTTGAAAAGGTAACAAGTGAAAAAAAAATGGTTTAGATTAGACATAAACTGTTGATTAGTCAGCTTCAGGAACTTTTTTTGTGGCATTTCCACTTGATTCCAGTCTTTGTGCAAAGCTGGGCAAATTATGACAGTTGAATTGATCCTCTCTCTGGAAAGCTGATTTGAGTATTTCCCAAACCATTTCTTTGTAGGGCGATCAGTGAATTACATTTTGTAGAAATAACACGAGAATTATATGAAGAAGTAGATGTCAAAAATTAGCCTTCAAGATTAAAAACAGGGAAGGAAATATTTCATGATAGCCTTTGATAACCAGAACATAATTTCCAGCAAAACCATACTCAGATTAGAATTTACGCTCCAAAATTAAGAACAGTTAGTGGCATTGACCCCTCAAAAACAAAACAAAAACACAGAAGCCGGGTGGTGCAAACTGAGACATCTAAGTGCTGTGTTATCAGTAGCACACTTCACTTCAGGTAGCAGCAGTCACAGACAGCACACCCAGAATCTCTGTCTCGGCCATGCAGTGTTTCCAGGTCTGACGATGGATGAGGAACACTTACATTTCTGTGCTGCCGTTTTGGCTGGCGCCCTTTGGCCTGCTGCAGGGTCGTTTTCACCTACACCCAGCGACACATGCGATGAAGGTAAAGGTGGAAAACCACAAAGACAAAGAAAAGCAGTGGTTGCAGGTGGAAATTCAAATACTACATAATGCACGGCTTCAGGGTCGTCAGTTACAAGGATAGAAAATAAGGTTAATAATTCAAAAGGCACTTGCAGTGTCAAAAGAAAAGATATCAGCCAATGTTACAGGTCTACGGAGCCTGTAAAACCGTCTGAGCACTTGTTTGCAGGGTGTACCAGAAAAGCACATAAATTTATAAACCTCTTAAGACAGCTATTTTGGGTGTACAAGTCCATGTATAGTGTTGTGAATGAGTATCTCTCTGTGGTTTGATGAAGTCAGGCTGCACTTTGAAAAGTTGATGTAAAAAAAAAAAAAGGAAAGATGAACATTATACAAGTCCACTCTAACACAATACTTATGGTTAGAAAGACATTAGCCACAGTAATTGTTCCTCCTGTTCTGGCCAAAAACATCATAAAGAAAATCTAAATGATGGGGAATGACTCTATCATACTCTTCTTTTTTTTTTTTAATTGTTTCCCAGAGCGAATGTTAGTTAGGTTTACAAGTTATCTCTTGCAGAGAAGAACTTCATCCTTCAATATAAAAGCTTTTGCTCGTTGTGCCAAGGCAGAGCAGTAGTAATTAAGAGATCAACTTTGATACAAAAATACACAGCGCATTTTGAAGAGAACCCTCTTAGGTTGTCAAATTTTGGTGTCAAGTGTCAAGTATTATATTTGCAAGAAGCGAGGACTGAGTCATTTTTGGGCTTTTTATGCCTTCGTTAGAGAGATACAACAGTGGATAGAGTCAGAAATCGGGCTGAAAAAGAATAGAAACAACATGCAGGAAAGGAGCCACAGGTCAGTTTCGAACCCGGGCCGCCGGCTTGGAGAACTATAACCTCCATACATGGGGTGTCGCACTAACCACTAGACTACTAGACTAACGGCGCCCCCAGACTGCACTGTTTTACTTGATTTCTGTTCATCTATTTTCAGCCACTTAAGAAGGAACAATAATAGTTATGGACAGGTCTGTTTTCTGTGTGTGTATGCAAGATTACCACACTCATACTGCTAGCAATTTGGCATATAGAGTATGACCAATTTATCAGTAGGCAGATATGGACCAATCACTAAAATATTGATATATAATTTTTCTGAGACAAATTCAAATTTTAGCCCACCGTACTGGTAATTGGTAAAGAACCTATTATTGGTCAGGCTCTAATAGCAAATACCATTAATGTCATGACAAACACAGCGAAGCTTAGAGAGAGATTGCAATGGAGATTATGGGAGAAGCAAGCAGAGGTAAAGGATGGAAAAAGTGTTTCCTGACAGAAATTAAAACTCAAATCTAATTTCAAGCACTGACTAAACAACAGACTCAGTATCTCCTAAAGGACCTGCTGTCTATACTTTCATCATATGTAGTAAAAACAGCTCTTCCCCTGTTTAAAGGCTGGTACATGAACATTAGTGAGTACAGTCCTGCCAGCACAGGGGATGTCCCTGCAAATCATTTGTAGTACAGTACTCACTCCATTTATGGACTGCAGGATATTCTTTCTGGATAAAGCCATGTCCTGCAGGATGGTACTAACTTCTCTATCCTGCAGGTAAATATGTGGGTAAAGTGGTGATGAAGTGGAAGCAGTGAGAAGGCAGAGCAGAATGCAGACACACAAAAGCAGGACGGCTCATACACCCTCATATAGGATGATTGGTTATGTAGTGGGAGGATCTGAAAGGAATCCTTGTTCCAAAACATGTAGTTAAGATAATTTTCATGGATTCATTTACATCCAACATTTATAAAAAAAAAATAAAAAAAAATAAAAAAAATACCTCCAGTCAAACAACAGAGAACATACTTTCCATAATGTATTTTTTTTTCTTTTTGAACTACTCCATGTTCGATCCTTACTGTTTTTGGAACATAAATATTAATCTGAGATTGTGTTTACTTTCCTTCTGCTGAAAAAAACCTTTGGAGACTGTTCAGTAACTGATCATTTTTTACTCTGTACATGATTTAAATGGTTTTGAAGTCGACCACTTCATATATATTATTTATGTACAGAATAAATATTAATGGCCCCAACATTAACCCTTGGGGAACTCCACACTTTACCTTCAGCAGTTCTGATTTAACCTATTTGATTTGCACATACTGATATATATTATGTAAGTAACTGATGAGCCAAGTGAGTGCTACTCTTATGCCATATTTCTGTAGTTTTGTTTATAATAAGTTAATGTAGTCCTTATACATTCAGACTATGAGCAGAAAAATAAGAGCATATCAAGTGGGAGCTATGGGATTATGTACTTGGCCCTCATATTGCAATAGAAAGGTTACACACATTCTGGCAGCAGGCAGAAAGCACACCGACCTAGTATCATGACCTGACCTGCAACTCGTGGTGCAGCTGTCCTTTTCCCATGTCAGTACATTTTGTACTGATAAGTGAACAAATTTGATTTAAACTACTTCTAATCAAAGACAAAAGCCCAGTAAAATTGAAAAACTATACAGCATAGTCAGTCATTTATTTTGGATAACAAATAGTTTGTTTGTGCAAAAGCAGACACCTATCCAAAAAAAACTCAGCACATTAAGTCTTAACTATCTATTTCACCTGAAAACAAAAGGGTTAAATAGGTGTCGCCTTTTTTTAGCGATTTGCCTGAAATGACTTATTTAAACTGAAGTTTATCTTAGTCTTTTCCTTCTCCATTGTTTCTCAGATCTCTGTAAGAAAAACAAACTCCACTACCGCCCTGAGCAGTCTGAGAAGCAGAGACAGCTGCCAAACCACCTGACCCCTCTCACTGGGACGAGTCACTTCTAAATCGAGTGGCTTAACTCGCATGTACACAGCTGCTCCGGGCTGGGCCTGAGGGTGATGTAACTGTTACTTAATCTAACCAGGCCACTGACTGACAAGGTGGCATGAGCTGATCAGGCGTCAATAACTTGAAAGACAGCAGCAAGACACACAAAAAAGTGTCTGAATTAAAGGTCAACTGGAAAAACCAATTTCCCTTTTTTCTAAGAACGGTCAGGTTGACAAATGAATCCAGCTCCAGACTTTGAAACACATTGCTGGATTGTTCTACCTGCTGCTGCTGTGTGGAGGGTCCGTTAGCTCCCTCGTAGAAGCACTTCTCTGCTTCATCGTAGCGGTGTTTGTCGAACCAGATGTTCTCTGAGGCGAGGCACTGAAGTCCACTCATTTTGGTACTGAAGGAAGAAGTCAGAAGTTTAGCAAAACAAAAAAAACTTGACATTGATCTACACCCAAAAAGACCATCTACCAAAAGCAATATGAAGTTGTAACAGCCGCCACAAATAGTGACATGAAAAGTGTGACAGAACTTCATTACATGCTTGACCACGACAACTTATTTTACTGGTTAAAACATCATGCAGAGCCACAGATGAAGCTTTGGATGGAATGATATGAGACAATACAAAGCAGAAAAGTTAAAAAAACAAAAACAAATAAAATACACTGTAAATTAATGGCAGAATAACAGGTAACAATTTCTGTCAACTCAAAGTTGACATTAAATACAGAGACTATTGCTTATGTGCTTCACCTCCCTTCTCAATATGCTGACTGGTTACTGCAGCTGACAGGCATCTACACATTCCTCAGTCAGTGAAACACAGTTGCCTGGTCTGCAAAATCTGGATTAGAGAACAAAAGGTTGGCTGGTGCAAACTAACAACACTCTCTTAGTGACAGCAGAGTTCAACCTTGTCGTATGATTATAAACACTGACCTGTTATAGTAGACATTACATTGCTCTATCTTAGCAGTCAAAGGGAGGTGTTTTTGCAGCTACCAAAAACACAACTGTAAGACTTATCAAAAGCCAAAACACTTCATTATAATTCATTTTTTTTAAGCAATCGTTCCACAACAATTGCAAAATATCAGAGATTCAGCTTACTTTTTCGCAAAATCCCTATAAGCTGCATTGCAAGTTCATTTTAATGAATAAAGGTCCTACATTTATTTCCTGATTGCTTTAGTTATTCCAAATGCAGTCTTAATTACAATAAAAAGGTCGATCTACAAACCTACTTTTCAAATATATCAAACATAGAAGTTAGATAACTGAAAAAGCCAAACAACAATGCAGACAGACAACAAATACAAACAAAATACATAAAAAAAAAAAAAAGAAATTGTGGTAGTTTAAATACACCAAAAAACACACGTCAAGTCTCTCCCATTCCCTGTGAGGTTGCCATACTTGTCCCATTTGGGCCTGATTTCCGTCTCAGAGAGGCCTCTCTTCCTCTGGTGAGGCCCCCTGCTGCCTTTGCCCCCCTGTTCAGTCTCAGAGGAGGTACGATTGCGGCCTCTACTGTACTGGCGATGGGGGGTGCCTGAGGCCTTCACAGTGACCGGGTGGCCTTCTTGCTGCTGACCACGATTGCGGCTGGACTGGAAGGTCATGTAGCCCCTAGTGTTAGGACTTCTGGGAGAGGAAGACAGTGGTCCGTTGCCATTAGAGGAAATTCGGCGTGGGTAGTTGTTCCCAGCCTGTTCGTAGCTGCTGCGGTGGTGCCGGATTCCCTCAGCCTGCATGCCCTGATGGACAGGGCTTTCACCATAGGAGCCACTTCCCTCCATCGACCTGTTCAACCACTCCTCTCCAGAGCTCTGGACCTCAGAATGAGACAAACGTGTGTGTCGCTGCGGTCTACCAAACTGGACTTTGTCCCCACTGATGACGCCTCTCTCCAGTGTGGGAACATTTCCCTGCCTGAACGCCCCCACCGATGCAGCAGCACGCTGAGGGGCTCTCCCTTGATGAGGGTTTGGCAAAGACTGATCCATTTCTCGATCAAAGGGGTCTCTCCTCTATTCACTTGTGTTTCAAATTATTGAGGAGAGAAAAGAAGCAACAGGTGGAAGCTAGAGGCATTAGTTCAGTGTCAAGTGAGCTAATAACAGGCACTGTGCTTGTTAGATGCATCAAAGGAAGCTTATAAAAAAAGATGACAACGCCAATGTGATCAGGCGAGCAAACAGACAGTGGATTGATCAAAAAGCTTAGTATTTTCAAAAATACATTTTCCTTTAAAATAAGTGTTCGGAATGAACCTATCCTGAATGTGAACAGAAGAACAAACTCAATGCAATGGACCTCTTGTGTTTATGCTTTCAGGATATAGAAAAAATGTTACCAAAAACATAAAGCAGTTAATTGATCAATCTCACATTGGACTTTAATAAAACAAAAATGTGGCTAACTATTTGGTTAGGGTGTGATGCAGTGTTTCTTTTAAAGTCATTTCAAGTATGAAATTCAATGCAGATTTCCCTTTTTTTTTTAAATACATTTTTTTTACCTAAAAGACACAAGGTGAAATACACCCAGTGCATGGTTTGGTATATAAGTAGCGAGGTACTTTGCCCAATCAATGAAGAAACACTGTATTTAATTATAAGTGAATATGTTCTTTTTAAAGCATCCAAAAACCGAACCTCTCAATGTCTCACCTTTGTTTTGGCATGCTGGAGGATAATGCTCACTCCCTATTGTGGAATGGGATATTCAAAATAATTCATGTGTAACCACATAAACCAAAACAGTTTCATTGAAGACAGTCTTTAAAAAAAAAAAAAGTGTTGCAAGCAGAAAAACACATCCAAAAATACTATTTATATTTTGATGCATAAAACACACAAAAACGAACCATTTCATAAAATACCAACAAAACAAGCATACACTTTAATCAAACTCACTTAAAAACACAAGTGATGCTTAATGTACTGTTGGTACAGGTTTAAATACCTATATTTCATTTGCCAGTTTATTGGTAGTACCTTTACAAAAATTGAATGCATATTGATCCTCTGTAATAAATGCCACATTTACTAGGAACTGTTATTTAAGTCATGTTGTGCACATTTTAGAGGCTGTTGCTTTCATCTGTTGGATTGCATTGTGCTAATCTGAGAGGAGTTTAAAATGTGTGGGCCTTATCAAACGACAGCCTCAAATAATAAATCTCATCAACATCTCTATGAAGATATTTCTATAAATAAACCTTTAAGTGAGTTGCTGTACCCTATAAACTGGCAACTGCGTGATTAATACTTTTATTGCAGAACAACATAGGACTGCAATAAATTACAACAGTGCATGCGTTAGAGTATCAGCTGAAAGGCAGCATCAACACTCACCTCTGAAAACTGGGATGGGAAGCTAATGCCCAAAAGACAAATAAGAGATAATGCAAAAAAAAAATACTCGTACAAATACAAACTCAACCAACCACATGACAATAAAGTATGAAGTTTGAAGGAAGCTTGTATTAACTATAAAGCAGACCTACAGTCAGGAGAAGAAAATGACATTGAAAGACGACGGGAAATTCAATGTCCATTTCACAAAAAACTAACAGTCAAGCAAAGGCACAACTTCAGTGATATCAAATAAAGTCGAAATCTATAAGTTCTGTTGATTTGTTTACCTCCCACTAGCTGAAGTTAGGTTTTGTAACAGGAGTTTCTTTTTTTTTTTTTTTCTGACAGCCACAGTAACTTTGAAGTTAGTTGACCACGTGGCGACTGAAAACTTCCAAAATTTACAAAACTTCACGAGCTTTCACAAACATTACACTTGCTATGTTCGAGGTTCAACCAATACATCTTTACAAAACTTACTTTTGGCTTTACTCGACGTTTTACGACTTGATAACCGTTCTCTGGCGTGCTGCCTCGGCCGTAATCCGACGGGAGAAGAAGGACCGGTAGCTAGGCGACGCCTGTATTCTTCAGTAACAGGGGGGGGGGGAGCGAGACGTAAACTTTTCGATTATTTTTGACGATTTGTGCCTTTATCTAACATCAATAAAATAAAATGTAACATAGAAAGACACAAAAATGTCCTTTGTATCGCGGACATACGTTGTTCTGTGTTTTTGTTACTATTTTCACCTTGTCTTCAGATTGGTTTGATCCATTTTGGTTAAAGACTACATTTCCCAGAGTTTCAGGAAGCCGGCAACGGCTGGATGAAGTGAGGAGTTGTTTTCTTGTAGTTGTTTTGACAAGCTGTGGCTGTAAACTCAACCTTGATTGTAGGCCTCTATATTTGGTTTGATTTAAAACGCCATGATTTATCATGATTTATACGATTTCGACTAACCGGACGTCCATTATTTATCCTCTCGAAATTGAGCTTGTGTAAAGAGTTTTGACCGTATCTTGAATTCAAGTTGCGCGTGAATTAAATCGGCTTCTTTTTCTCTATTTGTCCTGTAGATGGCTGCAGTGGCGCTTATTCTAACATACACACGTGTGTGGCCTTTCACAGAGCAAGTTATTTCGCTTGATATGTTTTTATTCGCCATATAGGCTTTATCAACTTTTCCTTATGGCAGAACTATTTTAATTACCGGTAACATATATGTGTAAATGTACACATGACTTATGAATTAAAGTTGAATTTTCAACCACAGCTTTCATACAGACATGAATGCATTTTTTAAGATGTTCAGTAGCCTAATATGCCTTCCTAGATCTACTTGTGTAAAATTGACTTAAATAATTGAACATTGGGCATTGAGAACAGCCTAACATTGGCATTTTTTATGATTATTATTATTTTTTACAAAAGTGTGAGCCAATTAAAAAAGTGACTCCAGCATGCTATTTTGAGTGCTTTCCCCACAAAACACAGACAAATTTAACACATGCGTACAATGTGAAAACACAAAGGGAAATATTATGCTTACAAGTTTTAAAATGAGTGGCATGAGGTCTTCCTGAGAAATGTGATTACATTTCAAGATATCTGACATACTTCAGTAAGTTGGCCTCAAAAAGACACAGTTTTAAACAGTTTTTAAATAAGAGGGATTTAAGAAAGTAGGACAAGTGTTTAAGCATGAGTGCAGTTCAGACAGTGATAAATGATTTATCTTTCTTAGGGGGTAAAAGGACAAATTAATTCCTTTAAATATCTCCAACATCCTTCTTTGACTAAGTTGTTCTTGGAAGTAGTTCAACAAAACTGCATTCACTGATGGGCTGATTTATTCCTCCATCACTCAGCCCATTCCTGCCCTAGTTTACACAGTACAGGTATAATGGTGTTTCTTTTATATATATATATTTTCATTATGTGTTTCTAATATCGGAATGATTTTTGTGTCTGCTTTTTTCTTTCTTTACAGCTTATTTTGCTTGAGATTTAACATAGACTGCAGCCACATAGACTTATAAATAGTCTTAAATGCTGAGGCTTGCACCGTGCAAATTCTGCACATCACTCTGCACACTTTCTTATGTGGGAGAAACCTTAAATTTGTTTCGTCTTTGGGCTGTAAAGGAAGCATTTGCTTCAGCGACTACCGATTAGATGTTTTCTTTCTGGACCTATCAGATGCTGAGCTGAGTTGTCATATTAAATACTGTTCATACACAGTCATTGCTAAAGGGTAAAAAAAACAAAACCTTGGCCCAAAAAGATTTGGCTTCACAAACTGACAAAGGAAATATTGCTAAGTGACTGAATTATTTTCACAGAGCAGAGCTACACTTTACACTCTACTAAAAAATAAAATAAAATGAGCAAGGAAAATTTTAATTAAGGAATAAAATCACTGCAAATTAAACTGATGAGGTGTGCAAGTGTCTGCAAATCCATGTTCACAAAGATATCATAATTCAGTTTGTGTGTAGACAAAAATAGCACAGTGCTGCCTGCGTTAGTGCCAATTGGATTCCAAACTGGGTTAAATATTCATATTGATTTTTACTGAGGGAGGTATATCATGAATGAAAACCTATCAGCAAATGCAAAGATCCTCACAGACCCTCTGTCTGTCTCTCTCTTCTTTGTCTTTCATCAAAAAAAGCAATCACAGGCCTGAGTGGGTTGTCTGAGAGAGGAATCCCTTTGCAGGTTATGGATGTCATGTTACAGGAAGTGTGGGAGTAAGATTTACCATTTCAAATGATATATTTTTGGAACAGTTCAAGGCGGAGTAAAACCGATGTGTACAAGGTTTGGAGAAATGCCTACTAAAATAAAAAATAAAAAATAATTTCTTGAAGGACGGATTTTTCTGGATAGTTAGCTGAATGCAGTCTATTTATCAGTTTTATGATGGCCAAATGTATCTATAACATTTTCATTATCAAGAAGTTTTAAAGCAAAATGGCACACAAAATAATAATAATAATTGTTCAAACTTCTCTAATGTGAATATGTTCTGGGTTTTGAAGTCTTTAAAGGTGTTTTATGACAAATCTCTTTTGAGGGATCCCTGAGAGGAACTGCCCACTCGTGGGCTCATCAGAAAACTTCATACCTATAAGGCTGTTTAACCATTCACATTCACATCCAAAAATAGGTATGCTGGCAGTGCATGATGTAAGCTGATCTGTGACAAAGAAAACAAAATAACAACTTTGGGTTTAGGAAGGCAGTGGACAACTTCAAGATAAAGGTTATATAGCAATGTGGCGTGCAATGATTACGAGTTAAAGGTTTTTGAAGCTGTAGCAATGAGGTTAACAACCTCAAGTTAACGTTTGTAGGTAAAGTAATAATGCGGCAAGAAAGTCATCATGAGGTTTGTAGGTATAGCATTACAGCGAACAACAACAGCACGATTAAGATTGCAGGTGTAACAATGTGACAATCATGACAAAATCGAGTTTGTAGGTACAGCAATAGGTTGAACATTGGTAAGACGAAGGTTGCCATGGTGTCCTTTGTGGGGTTTTTTGGGCTTCATGGTTTTTATATATGTAATCAAATGGAAAGGACATATCCAAATGTAGACATCACTGCTGGTCTATATTTGGGTCATGTTAATGCTATTAATAAGGGCTTTTATCATGCTTTGAAATAATACCATTTTTGGTGCTTCATCATCTGAAGTTTTGGATCAATCAACATGTAAACAGGTGTGGACCACTGAACGTTTTTCTGGTGCTGTGAATAGTGACCGGAATACCAAAGTTAAGAGCTGAAACAGTCCCTCTAATAGTGTGCTATATTATTCCTTTCTTTCAGTGTAAACAAACCTTAAAGGGGTGAGTCCTCAAATATTTATTTGACAGGGAAGTTGAATGTCTTTCTGGTTCCCAACTATCACTCAATTATTTAAAAAAAAAAGATTGGTAGAATAAAAAAGTATTGAAACTAATCACTAGTTGCTGCCCTGCTTCAGTTTTACTTACAGTATAACACCCACTCTGCGGATAAGTGGGCCTCCCTGCTCCTTAAGATTGAAACCAGTAATTAATCACAATGCACAGCTTTGTTTTGATGCAAACAACCTCTGTGTTTGAAATACAAGCCATTAGACAGATGGTCTCACATGGTATCACACAAACCTTTGTTAACATTTGTTGGTAAATGCATACATTTTTTGGGGGGGTCATCTTCGTAAGACGACACTGGTGATCATAACCTGATTCTTCATATACCAAGAGGTGTGTTTTGAATTATTTTTGAGGCAACACGGACACAGACTAATATCTGGATTGTCTATATACAGTCATAGACACTTGCTTTTTTTGTGAGGAGAATAAGTTTAGAACCTGCCTGTAAATGTTTCTACAGATAAATCACTCTTGGGCTCAAGATGACTCTATGTCCAGTTGAAGGTTAATTCCTCTGTTCTTGTTCTTTTATTCTGGAGGGACAGAGTCTTGCTTATTTAGCAACAACATGCTCCACATTTACATGACCTTGTTTGTAAGTCGCTCGGCCCAAAAACTTTTACAGCTAGACACGCAATTATGACATGAAACAAGAATACACATTTAGCAAATGCTTTTATAAGGGATGCATGTAGCAATTACTTCTACTGATTACACAACAGCTATAGTTCAATCAAGAGAGACAAGTAAATGAATAAATGATAAATATTTTTTTTACATGTGTGATATTGAATGATTGTCGGAGAATCTTATGCTGCTTGTACTCGACAGGGATAGGGTGATTGAAGATGTCTGCCCTAAGCGGCAGCAAGATTTATGTAAGCTGGAAATGCAAAGCTACCTTCATGTTTATGCCACTGATATCATAATAGGTTTCATTGTAGCAGCTGCTTGCTGAAGGTGAGGAATGGGAGCTGATCATCTGTCTCAATTTTATGTATTTGTTTGCTCTGAGGTTGTAAAATCAGTTAACCAAACCACACATTTATGCCTGAGTTTCTTTTGAAGTTCCGATGAATCTTGTTCAGTAGATGATTTCCTGTGGTGCATAACCTTGTTTTCCTGAGAAATTAGATTTTGCTTTACAAAGACGAAGAAACAAATTGAGTAGTACTCTGAATATAATAATACAAATTTATGTGAGCACAACTTTTTCCCAGCAGCAGCAGCAGCAGCAACAGCAGCAGCAGCAGCATTTTGATGGTGAAGGTTGGGTAATTTAATGACTTCTATACTGCTGGGTAGTTTAAAGGCAATAACAATGAAAAATGCATCATATTTTATTAGCTGACATGTTTCTAAAGTCTTAATCTGCAGCATAACAGTTGTTGGCTTATAAATGTAGTGCAGTAAAAATGTTTTTGTCTCTGAAATGTTCAGCAGTAAAAGTAAGCTATACAGTGGCACACACACATGAACAAACAGCACAAATGGAGAGATTTCAGAGTGAGGAGTCTGCACACGCCTTGCTTAAGCACACCCCGGCAGCGGTTGGTGAACTGGTACCAGTCCAAATATCCATGATTCAAACCAGGCCTGGATCTGGCATATATGACTAACACTTTCCATTTGAACAGATAAATATTATCATTGTTTGTTTCATCAACATGATGTCAGGTGTCTGGCAGTCATTATTTGTAAAATACGTAATTTGTGACTTGAAATCAGGCCATTGGCTGGTCGGTTTATCACGAGGACACTGACATCTTTCACTGAATGGAGACAATCATTCACCTGAATCAGGGAGAGAGAGCGAGAGAGGGAGAGAGAGAGAGAGAGAGAGAGAGAGAGAGAGAGCAGACGTGTCACAGACGCTCCTCTCTTCACTCCCATAAGTTTGCAGCAGCTCGCATGCATGGAGGACGCGGGATTCATCTATTTTAGGCTGACAGAGTGAATTCTCACACCGGGGCTTTTGAAGAAGAAAAAAAAAGTCACTGTTTGAAGAGACTCGGAGCAACAAATAACCTGGATTTACACCATCTTCTTTATCCTCTGATGTCAAATATAAAGAAGACAGATAATAACATGGAAATGTGTTGCAAGAGGCTACCAGGACGCCAGGACAAATTCTTACTCTTCATCTTTTATTTTCATCTGTGCAGGAATATAGTGAGTGACATGTTTGTATTATTTTTTATTATAATAACTAGGCTACTTATTCTCTTTGCTACAATCCCCATGAACTTTGTTAAAAGCATCTCAAAGTGCAGCTGAATTTGAACATTTTTGCTTTTGCAAACGAGAAAAACCTCCCAATGAAGTGTCCGATCGACTAAATTGCAGCCTAATGATATGTTTAATTTAATGTTATTGTCCTGTGTCCAACCTATCTAGCACACACTTGTCTCGAGTTGTCCTCATTAAGCCGGTGGCATTAATTAACGACCTGCATTTATTATTTTCATCTGCCTGGCACAAATTCAAAATCAAAATCATAAGGGAAAACATGACGATTTTTCAGCAAGTTTATACTTAATTCAGAAGTTTTCTGTTGTAGGAAGTTTGTGCATGGATTTTGCAAGAGGTATGCACGAGTTTAGTCTTCAAGCAAAATGTCAAGCCTTAATGAAAAATGTGGAAACCTGTCTTGAAAACTACACCTTGACAAGTGCCAAAAAAATGGATTCATGCAAAGAGGTGTGCCAGTTGATGATAATTAAGGCTTCCCTTCATCCCCGCTGCTCCCACTCACTCATCGTTACAACTGCTCCGAGCCACCAGGCAGCTAAGAGGGGCATCGTCTTGTTTGTGCAGCATGCGCCTGCTTCAGTGTAGATAACCAAAGTCATCTCGTATTTTATTTATTTCAGGCGGAGGCGATTCATCCAGACTGCGCCATCGTCTCGCAGCACCTGAGGGCTCGTGAGGTGTGCAGCCAGACGAGGAGGAGCGAGGCGCAAAACCAGACCGAGCAAAGCGGTGGGTTCATGTGTGATGCATATGATGCTGATACTGCTGCTGTGTTTCTCTGCGCACAACCACCTCAGAGATAACCTGGAAGCTTTGGCGCGCTGCGTGGGTTTTTTTTTTTTTTTTTTTAATAGGCTAGATAGCAGGTATATGCCAAGTGGGTTAAATCTAAAAGGGGAAAAGTTTGAGAGTTGAAGGAAAGAAATCGAGAGAATTAAAGATGGTTAAAAAAACTTTATGGAAGCGAAATGATGCTGCTGAAACTTTCTGAAGGCTCTTGAGATGTTTTAATGCGAGTGATAACAAGGTGATGACACATGAACAAATACAGGGCTCAATTATTTTTTGTGAGAAGAAGTGAGTTTGTATAAGATAGACTGCTAATAACTGTATTATGTAGCCTAGGGAGCAGTGAGGTAAGATGAGCCAGCTTTTACTTTCTTGGTATAGGCAAGGACAAATAAGAATGACTCTTATTTTGAAATATTGCCTGACTGAACGGATAAGAATGCATCTATGGCAAATTTGGAAATCTGACTTCTGAAAAAAAAAGAAGTGTTCAACTTAGGCAATGTTACAGTGGCAAGAAAAAACTGCCTATTCGGTTTAATCTTCTTTTTGTCCCATTGGTGAGCATAGTTTTAAACATTTCTATCAAGTGAGGGTACTTATCCAAATCAGAAAGACCACAAGCTTAGGTTTGAGGAACAAAGTGTCAACAGCAAAATGTAGGCTATGGCCTTATAAAAATAGCAAAGTTTAAGTGTTATGTTATGTAAATATTTTCTCTTTTAATAATTTTTTTTTATTAGAACGTCACACTTTGTTTGAACTGTCAAGACAAAAAAATCATACAGTATCTTTAAACTTTAGATTATATGATTTGTGGGCCTTTTTTGAGTGGTTATAAAACCAGTCCAGGGCTTTTTTGATAATCTAGCCTATTTCTCCAAATTTAGGGCCATTATGCCGTCTACTGTAGTTTAATCAAAGACGTTATATTTCTACAAAAACACTCACATGACTTCAAAGGCTGAAAGAGGTCCAAATGTTAAGTCGTTTTTTATTTATCAGAAATCCCAGCTGTCTTTTTGACACCAGATAACACACACATTTAATGAAAGTTGAATAAAGCCTACCAAAGATTTAACTTTTAACCTTTTTCACTTTTAAGGACTTTTTTTTAGCTCTCAGTTTTAAAGTCTATTTCTATCTGCATTGTGCCCTGATTTCTACTACAAGAGAAGTAATTATTTGATAAGTCGTTTTGTCTTTTAAAGGTCAGAAATACGTTTTTAAAAGTCCCAGAGTCCAAGATGATGATGTCCCTGAATAGAAATATTCACAAAAATATCGTAAGTCAAAGAAAAGCAGCAAATCGTCATTTTATACAGCTTAACCATGAAAATTTAGATATGTTTTTTAAGTAACACTGGTTTAGGTCATAATATTCACCATTAAAGGCCCAATGTGTAAGATATTTACTGAATTAAATCATAAATGACCTTACTAAATCATCAGACATTAAGGTTTGTTTTTTTTTGGACTAAGTGGTTTTAAGGCTACCCCACAGGGCCGTTTTGAAAACACTCTCGGTTTGCTGGGTAAACGTCAAACCAACAGGTGTTTTAGCAATGGAAGCAGGCAAGCGTACTGGTTCAGATATAACTGATTGTACCCGACCTTTAAAGCCTCTGCATGTGTCTATCAAGCTCCACGAGCAGAAACATGTTAAAACTAGGATAAATACTGGAGATGAATTTGAAAAATAGAGAGAGGTTAAACGCAGAAAGGTTTCAAGACTGAAGAGCTGGCTAAACACTGAAGCTTCCGTGTCTGCGACATGGAAACCTGTGTGCACATAGACTATAGGGAGGAGGGGGCGGGGGAGACAGCTGTCTCCAATATTTTGAAATTGGACTGCAGTACCGATTTTTAAACACTAGGTGTCAGAGTTAAATATTGCACCTTTAACTAGTTGCTTATTAGCGTGGTAATTAGTAGCATACTGGCTGCTTATTAGTCATTATTAAGTGCCAGTTAGTACCTTATTCTACATGACCGTAGTCTCCTAGTCAACTAAGAGTTTGCTCTCAATACCCTACTAATGACTTATTAAGTGAGAAAAAGCATAATTAGACCTTAAATCATGTTCAACAACTTCCTAACATACTATCATTAAACAGTTATTAGCATGCTAAGAGGGACTAGTTAATGGTGAATATTGTAACTCTATTTTAAAGTCTTAACATATTTTCTAAATTATAGAAAAAAAAAAACAATGGGGCATGGTCATTTTTGCTGATTCTTTTTATGTTCAATAGAATGTAATAGACTTCACTTACAACGTTTTAGCTGCTGGAGGTGGATCAGTGGGTGTTGAAAGAAATGGAAATAGAAGCAGAGATAACGTAATTCATATATTAAGATACAGTATAACAAAACAAATACAGTACAATGCCATACCACAATACATTAGATAATATTTAAAAAAAATCCCATCCAAGCACATTTTACTGATGGTGAATTTCAAAAATCCTGTATGTGTCCATATGAACTTCTACTTCTCTATTAGCCTATTATTTAATTCTACATTCTTTTTTTGCTTGCAAAGGGGTACTTGTTATGTGATAGCAGTTTAAAAACCTATTAAAATTCCCCTGAATATTCCTTTTTTTGATCTTTACATCTGAAATCATAGACTGATATGGATTTCTGTCATCATAAAGATCTGATACACACTCGCTCTATATCTTGTTGAGGCTTCACCTGTGTGTCCTCTAATATCGGAGTCATTGACTTCCTCTTAAAATGAACCTGACGTCTCCTGAGGATAGAAACTGCCCCAGACTAAAAACGCTATGGCAACTCCCCTCCGCAAGACTTATGTGATCCTAATTTCCCCTGACGACTCCCAAAACTGGAGCGATACAACACTTTGGAGCCACGTTGTCATCCTCTGCTCATTACAAAGATAACTGTATGCTGATGAGTTTCGCTGTCGGAGTAAGTGTGTTTGTGAGTCCATCAGTGTGATGTCAACCATTCAGGTGTCCTGTTGTAATGCAGAGCTAGAGAGCCATGCAGAGTTTAGATTAGATTTTTTTGTATTACTTACACTGATCACTGACTCACTCCTGAAAGATGATAAGTCCAGGTAGATGTCATTGCTGCAGTAAGATGTGTTGTTTTTGGTCAAATCTTAACCAGCTACTTTTTGTCTTTGGTTTCTGCCTAGCTGTCACACGATAATTAATAATGTTCAAATTTTGGGCCAAAAAAGATACCCATTAAGATAAAAATGTAATTTCCTAGAGACATTACATCCTCCTTTGAAGTCTAATGAATGGAATCTGCTTAATAAATGAAGACATCATCAGGTTCTTCCCTCAGGGGTGGTCTGGAAGCGGTAACTCGGTGTCCAAAGTAATTTCTCAAGTTGTTGTTAATCCTTGATGAGGTGACATTCAAGCAGCTAAATGTATAGCCTCCTCTGGAGCCATCTGTTGAAAAAGGCCAGCGAAAGAAAAGCCCTGCCTGATGGGTGGAAAAGCCTTTTCTCTTATCTGAGAGGAAATGATTGAAATTAGTCATCAACCTATGTGGCATGACTGTTAATTGTGGACTCAAACTGTTTGACACGTCAGGGAATTTTACTTTATGGTTTTCTCCCCATGACAGTTTGAAATCCCCTTTGTGATGACGCCCAAAGACAAGTATATGTTTCATAATTTATGGTTTTCGCTACAGTCAGTGTGGCTTTTGTTACATGAATGAGGACAAATGTTTCTTCTAAAAGATCACGCAACCGTGGCTCTTTTTTTGGCTAAATCATCACCATCACCACAGTTCTCTTTTAACTTTCATGTCAGTATGTTGATATTTTTAATTGACTTATCTTTGAGCAGGGACTCCCTGCTTTAGCATGATTTCATCCACTTCTTGACGAACAATAAAACTTGTTGGCTCTTGCTAGAAATCAAATGCGTAAGCAATCCTACAGTCAGCTTGATGGAAACAGTCTTAGAAACCTTAACCTTTAGTCCACATCAGTGGAAAGGACCTTTGAAAAAAGCCTTTTTGTATAGAGCTGCCTCTTTTAAGGAATTTTGAAATTCATGAAAAGGTAAATTTACATAAGGAATATGTTAGACTCTTTTCAATAGATGGAATCGGCCAGTCTGTTGAGCAACAGGCAGATCAAGGATCCAGGCTAAAGGTTCAGGTGCCGTGTTTACCTTAATCAAAAAGCTGTGTTGCAATTGTATAAAGTAACACAAATAATCTGGCATGAAAGAGTGTACTGTGGGACAGATGACTAAGAGTGGAAGCAAGTTAGCTTGTGGATTTTGGAGTCTTGACTGACAATGGTATAAAAGGATATAGAGCTATAATAATTAACATTAAACAAAACAAAAAAAAGATGAAGCGTGTGTGATGAAGAGAAGATGTGGATGGATGGAGAGAAGATGAGTTGAAAAAATATCCATACAAACAAATTCTGTATTCCTGGCAAAGAAGATGTTACATCTTTGTTTTTGCTGCTACTCTTCTACAGTATGAGACAAACGAAACCACATGCTTGATATTTCTCATGTCAAGAAAAAAAAGAGACTGTTAAAAAATGACCAGCTTTGTTGTGTTTTCTCTGTAAAATTAAGGGTAATACACAAAGACAGCACGGGATGTACTTCAAGACACCCACATCTATTATTGTCTATGTCAGCCCACGTACTGTCAACATGTCAGAATATGGGGCCGTCCTTATTCCTAATGTCAGTGAGCATCAGCTCTCCAGGCAAGCAGCAATTTTAACACATTTTCATTCCATATCGGGATCTTTATCCTAGCAACTGTGAACTTTCACTATACGTTCCATGCCTGTGAGGATTTTCATAAATGTATTGGCTTAATCTGCTGCTTTGTTGTCGGCTTCTCCAACATGAGTCTAATCCAATCCTACAGATTGCCTGTTTGTCTTTTGTAGAGCATGTTCAGTAATGAAATCA